AAAACATCTAGTTGCCAAGTTGTGAAGTGCTAAGACATTCAGCACTTAATAGCCTAGAAACTGTTCTGATTTAAAGGACAAGTTAATTATTTAGTATTGACGATAACAAGCAACAGCAATATTCTTGTAATCAGTCATGGAACAGTGAGCTTTTACTGCTTTTTCTTAACTGTGTAGGTGCTTGTTGCTACACATAAGGCCTTAGTAAGTTTTTTCTTTTATTATCTTCATTTAAATTTGTCTTTCACTTTTGTATTGTAATTAAAACAGCCCTTTACCTTTTCTCAGCTATTTGTAAGTTTACATCTTAATATCTAAAACATGCTTTTGTAATGATCTCTAAGGACCAGTATTCCGCTTGGTTTTTTGTTTTCATTTTTGTTGTTGTGGTGGTGGTGTTCCTTTTTCATGCTGCCCTTCTGGTGTTGAAGAATTTGATTCCCTAGGATTATATGAATTTTTCTGTCCCATGTAGATCTTTTGCATAGGTAGATTTTTGCTAAGTGTTTTGTGATAACCACTAGCAGTGAACTACTGAAAAACATTCTGCTGGTCTTCTGTGTTCTCATGATGCATTGTGGGGTTTGTGGCTTTTCATTGACACAAAGTCTAAGGTTTACCAAGTGTTCAGGTGGTATTTTGTCTCCTTGTGGGGTTGCTTATTACACAGTTTTTTGCAGTCACAAAGGACAAGGACTGATGACACAAACAACCCATCTCCTTTCTCCACCCCCTCTATAAACATGTTGTTTATAAGCTAAACCACTTATTTTGTGACTAAACATACTGTTTTTTTCACTTAACTGCACCTACTAAAACCCAAGAAATTCAGAAGTTTAAAATTTGTAGAAGGGCAATGGTTTATCTTAAAAGTATCAGTGAGGCTGCAAATTACCAAGAGATGCTTAGTGGCAAAAAGGAGGTTGTCTGGTGTGTTCAAAAGTGACTGGAAATTGGTCTGAAGGTCACGTTGCATTGACAGATAAGTCCTCACAGCAGGATCGCAGTGACGTTTGACTTAGTGTGACATTGCCTGTTGTCCTGCCAGTTAACGTTGATGAAGACAGAGTGAACAAGGACTGTCCTCCCCACACACTGCAGATGACTGAGGGGGGAAAGGGGGAGGATAGAGGGGAGTTAATGAGTAATCTGGGGATAGCTTCAGAAACGGTCTCTGAAGGGGAAACCATGAGCGTCATCAGAAGTGAACTTGGCTTTTGAAAATGACATACATACGGGAAATGTTCTTCCACTTGGAAAAATTAGGTAATGGCCTAGCCCTTTGCCCAAAGGTGAGAGGAAATCCTGAGACAACAGGAAAACATGTCATGGGACTAGCAGGAGCTCTATAATGAGAAAATGAGGGGAAGGGCTGTCTTCTCAAAGTGGTGACACAGCCTGTCAGTACTGGGGAAGAGCAATGCCACACAGATGAGCAAAGTGTAGCAACAAAACACAAACGTTGGCTGAAGTTAGCATCTCCATGTCACACAATGAGCGCTTTGTTGGGCATTCAGGTGGGCAGCTGATCCTGCAGTTGATGGAACTGCACTGTGAGCGAGTACAGCTGCAGTGGTGGCTGGCTGGTGTCGGTCCAGCCTCTCTGAAGACAGCTTTTTGTTCTGGCATGCGTTTTGTCTTTGGTCATAGCCATGGTTGTGCTGGAAATGATTGCTGCAGCTAAAATCCTGTATGATGATGGTTGTGAGTCAGCTTGAAAAATTGCTAGCTTGGAGTTTGGGCACATTTGCTATTTTAGGAGAAAGGAGTTTGTATTTTACTGAAGACAACCTCTAACATGAATAAAAGGAACAATTTTAGTTTTCTTGTTTGGTTTTGTCTGAAGTTAGGACATACTTGAAATTACAGTAAGATACTGTTTTTCTAAGACTTTTAAGTAATAGTTCTGAATTTCAAGGTGTTTTTTTCTTTGTGGAGAACTTCTTGAATAGAGGATTATGTAGGGGCAGGACCCCTTTAAACACTCTTCAGTAAAATCGTATATAGATGAGAAAATAAAAGGAAGGAGATCAAAGAGATTTCTGAGAAAATCTTCAGGGCAGTTGCATAATAGGAACAGTCTTCAAAGTTTTTAATTGAGAATTTGAAAAGTTTCTACCGCTTCTTTCACAAAGAATAATGAATTTGTGTTTTATGATGTAGTGTGATGTTTTATGATGTTTAAATGATTTTTTTTCCCAAAAAAAATGAGGGGAAATAATAATACCACCATGCCTGCAGGATAGTGAGATGCAGTTTAAACAATCTACCTAGGATGATTGACTTGGGGTTTGGGGAATTTAACTGAAACTTGTGTGTCCTTACCGAATACATTACTGACGATCAGAATGATAGATGTTAATAATTAGTCATCTGAAGAATAAAGGTGATGCAGTGATGCTGCTGATGGGGTTGTATTCCTGTTAACTGATTGTCCTGAGAAGTTTTACCCATTCTCACTTAGTGTGACTCAATACTGGCAGTAATTAATTAGATAATGGACTGGCAGTGCGTGTGAGGCAGGCGTGCAAGATGATTCTTACTTCGTAAGGGGAAGTGCTTGTCATAGACATGAGCTGTCAGAACTGGTCATTGGTGACTTGTACAGGTTTCCGGAAAACCAAATCCCCATATATAGTGATTTCTTAGGAGAGTTGGTATTCATTGCGGTATGAGGAGAGTCCGGTATGGGCATGGTGCTAATGCCTAGCATAATTCCTTAACCATCTTCTCTGTCAAAGTTCGCAGGCATCTCTGAGACATTCTGTCATCAAATGTTTGAAGTATCGGGCGACAGAAAAAATGTTGCCCAGTGATTTGCTTCTAGGTTTGCATGGGCTGGGCTCCTCTATTCTTGTCTTGACTGATGATTAATCTGTATTGCTCTAAAGTACTAAACTAATACCAGCCTCTGAATCTTTGTAGGACTACTGGTTAATTAGGAAAAGGATGGCTTGTTTTGCCCCTGTAATGGGTACGTACTTGGATGCTGAGATGCAAATCATAGCATTAGCAAGGAAAATAGAGGAAAATCTAGCAGGCAGTCAAATGTGAGCCACCTTGTAACCCTCTATCCCTACAATTATACGTGTGTTCTTTGTTAGGAATTCTCACAAGTAAACTGATGCTAGTAGAAAATGCAGAGCTACCTCAGCTTACAGGAACCATCAGGCTGACTTACAGAGTTAATGAGGAGAGGTGTGAAAGTAGCATGGAGAGACATTGTTAATAATCAGATGTTTGGGGAGCTGGTCATGCACACTGGCAGCATCTGTTTCACTTCATTCTTCTGCCTACCTTTTATCTGAAAGCTATTAAAAGACAAAACTGTGTATGAGAAAGGAAGTATGTGCTCTGCATACATGTGCCTGTCACGTACAGTGAGTGCGTAGAGTTCCTAAACTTCAAAACAGTTGAAAATGAACTAGCGTTTGAAGTGAGGTAGATCTATCTAGGGACTGATAACACATTCTCAGACAAATCACCTGTAACAGACTAGAAATGAAATATTTGGTATATTTCGGGTAGCAGATTTTCCTGTTGGAGCCTGTAAAATAATTAAGGTTTGACCCGAGTTCCAGATAAGTGTACCGTCTGTACTTGCATTTGCCTTTGATATAGTTTTAGAAACCCAAGTTAAAAGGGTCTGGTGTAGTCTCATAACTAAAAGAGCTTTGAAAGGAGTACCAAATATTATAATATTTTTCTTAAAACTGCAACACAGAAGACCGAGACAAAAAATACATGGATTATGCATGTTGCTGAATGGCAGCACTTGAGATCTCTCTTTTTTAGGACCCCTTGCATTTCTGAATCTCAAGTTTGTCACAGCTACGTTCATTGCACTTG